CAAATTTATTTGAGCATAATTCACACATTACATATATCAAAACAATGAACAATAAAAAGATAATTTAGTAAAACATTTGCTGATCAGGATAACCCCAAAAAACCGAATATATTTATTTTCGTTGACTGATTATTTTCCGTAGACTGCACTGCGTTCTTTAACGTGCACATGGGCCATAAATGCACACGGGACCAACGGCTTAATTAAACGTCTCATCCGGAAGACGTTGCACTCTTGTAATTATTCAGCCGGGACATAAAGACCTCCACAATTAGTGCACACACAGTGGCTACCCCTGATTAACTGCAGAGCTAAGCTGGTCTCTAAATGTTCTACGTTCAAGTTAATAATTTTCATGTTACTTTAAAATGGGCAAGTAAATTTTGCTTTGGACAATATATATTAAATGTTACTTGTTTGTTTTTGTCAGTATGTAGTTCAGTTCTACTATCATTTCTTTTAAGACCTAGATCAACCTGTTCTTACTGCCTCAAAAAGCAGAGTCTATGAAGGTGAATCAGCGATCTTGACCTGTACTAAACGAGATGGTGACCCGGTCCCTAGTATCACATGGTATAAAGATGGACAAGCACTCAGCTGCACCACAGACACCAGTAGATGTACTACAAGCGAAGATGCACTTAAAATATACATTGAAGCTGCAACTGATGGTGGCAGGTATATATGTAAAGCTGAAAGTGATCAGTACAGAGGAGAAGATGGCAAAACCAGTAATCAATTTGACTTGAAAGTAATACGTATGTATATACCGTATGTATATTTATATTTATATTAATTTAAAGAATAAACAGTTGGCAATATCTGAATGAAGGGGGTGACTTACATCACCCCATATTAAACAGAACATCTCGCACAACCGTCCGTAGTAGACTGAGTCCACCACGGGCAACTCACACCCAACCATCCTCCCTGACTTTTTCACCAGTCCATCTATCCTATCCTTATCATGCTAGGCTTGAGAAAGCATGGAGTGAATACCCACAAAGGTTTTCGCCATTTTAACAATATTACATGATTACTGAGATGGGTTGATAAGAACATTTTGCTTATTAACCTCAATTTCCTTGGAGTCAAGATAGTACTGCTGAAGAGACTTCCAGAGTCTTCAAGTAAACAAGCACAATTTTACAAGCTGTGGGGAGGAGAGCTCAGACTATTCATTGGAATTTAAAGTAGTAGAACATATACAAATATCTCAAGATTAAAAATTCAAGATCAAAGTTATTTATCCATCCTCAAAAAGGAAATTCATTGCCCGCAATATACATGCTAAAATTCATGAAATGTTAAAATACAAACATGTACAAGAAGTTTTTCAATACAGATATTAGAATAAAGTCAGACTAAAAAGAGATCACTTTGTAAAATTTGACTTAATCTGTTAATACTCTGATGTAAAGGGACAGAAAGGCAATTTGTGCCAGAGGCCGGTGGTCTTAAACGTCGGAACGACGGATACGTTGGTCGCTAACTATCTGACAACGGGTGAATTTTATCCTTTAAAATACACAATCATCATAACTTATTTGATAGGGACAAAATGATGATGGTGTTGATGATGATGATGTTGATGATGATGATGATGATGACGATGACGATGACGACAACGACAATGACTATGACGATGACTATGACGATGACGATGGCGACGACGATGATGATGATGTGAGGATGATGAATAGGCCTAATTCATTTATAATTCTGATTAACAACTTATATATTGACACGTAGCCAATTAGTGATAAAATATGATCAGGTGGCCTAAGAAGGTGATACTAAAGTGGTGATACCATGGGACTATTCACAAGTTACTAATACACCTCTTACTATCATATGGGATGAAGTAAACGAAGCAGGAGTACCTAGTAGCATTGTAAATAGCATAAGGATTGTTACAGGTTAAGAACATCTTCTGGGAATTTTGAGCTGGTTATTGCAAAGCCAGTAAGGATTGATACTAATAGAAGATTCCAATTTCAGATACAGATACAAAGCGGAGATTTCTTCCTTTCAGATATTTCCATCCTGCTCAGAGACGTAGCCGGGATTTTGAAAAAAAAAGGGAGGGGGAGCCGTTATACCGAGCGAAGGTGGGGTGTTCCCCTTCTTTCGGCTGGGGCGGAGGGCGCCAAGGGCCCCGGGGGCAGGGCTTATCCTCCTGGGAGGTAGCGCACTCTGAACGTTTTGAGAGGATAAAGTGAAATATCCAATAGACGCATCATAAATAGTCCTAATATTAGTAAGCCTTACAATAATTATAATAATTCAATAGTGGCGAATCCAGAAATTCAAAGAAAGGTGACCCAGGAATTGACTTTTACAGACGTCGGGTCCACCCACCTCAGCCCCACCATGGTTGAGGCTGAGGTAAGAAAACTTATGATTAGGGCACCTCTAGGTGGCCGGAAATTACACTCTCAGACTTAAATTTAAAAATAATTTTCTCTTTTTTCATTAAAAAAAATATGGAGTGGGGGCCGTGGGGGAGAACCTTGAATCACTGCTGCTCAAAACATTCTTTATCACAAATAGTCATAATCACGAAAAATGGGCATGAAAACCAGATCACACCCTGAAAACAAAATTTATACACCTTTACTCTGAGTCACGTCCTGACTCAAAAAATGGACGCCAATTAAACCTGCTATGGAACGCAATAAAAGGATTATTTCACAGAATTTACTGAGTAACAGGTATTAGGGCATGGAATCTAAACCCAAATCCAGAACGTGCATTTGAACAATAATAGATACAACTACAAATAACAGAAAGTTTATCACATAAGTTATGATTGATATATAACATTTTATTCCTAGACATGCTTATCACAATTAAATGTAACGGACCATATACCACATCAGTTTACTGAATCCCCCTCCAACCACAAATCAATATCTACTCTTCGACCACACACTAGAAACGGTGTTTATAAACACTCTTATGTGTGACAGCTACGTCTTTAATTTTTCCAAGTTATGAAACTTAAGCAATTGAAATTGAAAGGTATTGTCCCTTGAAAATGACAGAATAAAAAAATGTCATATTACCTTGCTCATTTTCCAGTAACATACAATGTTTGAGCTTATTGAAATAGCATAGTAGGCCTATAGAAATTATTGAAATTAATGAATATGTACCCTGATTTTTAAGCTGCATAATTATAAATACATATAATAAAACACTTACAGCGACTGGAACAGTTTCTATAACTTTTTTTTGCTGTAAACTTATTGGTAAACATACTTCAAATACACTTATAATGTCTATGTTTAAGTTGATAATTTTCATGTTGCTTCAAAATGGGAAGTAAATTTCAAAAATGATTATTTCTTTGTATTTTGCATGGGATCTTTAGGCCTACTGTTACGTGTTTGTTGGCATGCAATTCAGTTCCACTATGGTTTTTCAGACCTAGATGACCCTGTTCTCACTGCCTCAAAAAGCAGTGTCTAATGATATACTTGCATTGTATACCAGCAGTTTAGTGAATATTTGTTACATGTATTATTTTATTTTGTTTAGAACTAGACAATGTTATCATAAGGCTAACTTATTTCTCAATTGAAATAGATCTTACCATTACATTTGAATCTGAAGCTGCCACTGCAACATGCATTGCAAAGGGTCATCCCAAGCCGTCCTCTGTTATGATATACAATGATGGGAAAATGATTGACAAAGAGGAACTTATTGCTTCTGTGAAAATTAACGAAGAGTTATGTAAAACAAACATTTCATGCTATGCAGAGAATGGAGAGGTTAACGCAACAGAACCACTGAAGACATGTAACACAGGTATGTGTTCTTCTGTTAGAAAAGGTTTCTGGTTTTGTGTTTTTGGTATTTATACGTAAAGAAAATTGAGCTACGTCGTTATTTCTTACACGTTCCAATGGATAGTTAACCATCGATGGCAGACGAACTTTACATGTACAATACTAATGTAGTTCTACAATAAGATTTATTTGATTATATCAATTGTATTTATAAATGTCTATCTTGCTTTATGTTACCAGAAGTAACTACAATTTATAATTTTTTTTAGTATTCAATGTTCAAAATTAAAGGTGAAGGTTTATTTATTATTTCTATGGTTTCCTTCATTTCCTTCATAATGGAGTCTTCGAATTAAAAACAGGTATGTGTAGATGAAAATTAATGAAGATTTTTTTTTTTAACAAACATTACATGCTATGCAGAGAATGGAGAGGTTAACGCAATAGAACCACTGAAGACATGTAACACAGGTATGTTTTCTTCAGTTAGAAAAGGTTTCTGGTTTTGTGTTTTTGGTATTTATACGTTTCCTTTATAATGGAACCTTCGAATTAAACACATTTTTGATAAGTAGGTATACTAAAAAATATGTATAGTACTCCATATTGAAAGTATATGCTCCGAAATTGCTATTATAATTATATCAATTTGTGATCTACGTTTGTATTTCATTTAGTTCCATCTAGTTCCATAACCCTGACCATTGGAATGTTTTTTGTGGGCGTGTTTGTTGGTTGCTTCGGGTTAGTTGCTGGCTTGATCGGCTACAATAAGATTAAACAGGTTTGTGAAATAATAACCATTTTGTTTATTTTCTATTAATATCGGTTAATATGGTAATAGCTTGTAACAGGTAAATAAAGTTAAGTAATCGTTATATAGGCCTATGGTATTTCAATTTAACGATGATAGTAAGTATTTGAGAAAAACGTATATCGCCATCAGGATTCGTATCGAAGACCTTCCGCTTACAGTTCGGATAATCTACCAACTGAGCCAAGTAGTATACAAAGAACAAGGCGTTGTCTGATACGCAATGAATAATATTAAATGACATGATAATAAAGAAGTTTTTGCAAGCTTAAGATAACGATAAAGAATAAGGTTACGTCATCAATTTTTTTAGAGAACCCTTCCCCTACAGTAGCATATTTGTCACAAAGTAGGCGATTCATGCCTTTTGCATGAATCAAGGATCATATTCAGCTCACACAGCATATTGTTAAAAATGATTTAGGCACGAATGACGATAACGACAATGACGTATTCGTTATCGTTTCCGTAATGTTGCGAAATCTCCCTAGTACTTTAGCATGAAGATACACCTCCACTGGTGATAATTAAAGATCATCTTTAATTATCACCAGTTAAGGACCAAATTTCATACATGTGCTTGTATTATTGACAATAAAGAGCATCTCTCTAATGTCATCTCCACCTTCATCTTTATATATATATATATATATATATATATATCTCATATATATATATATATCTCATTTTCATATTCATCTCACTTTTATTTTAATTTTTTATCTCCATAACATCCCTATCTCAATCTTATCTCTTATACCTGTACCCATCTTCTCCATCTTATTCTCCAGTTAAGTCTTCATTTCATCTTCTTCCCATCTCCATCTTCGTTGCCATCTTATCTCACTTAGCTTTATCTCCATCTTCATCCTTACCCCCATCTTCATCATCTCATTCCATTTTCATTTTTGTCTTCACTTCCAACCGGGCTTCCAACTCATCTCATCTTCATCTTTATCTCCATCCCAATATATATTTTTTCTAATTCTCCAATTCAGCTCATCTCAACTTTTACTTTCATCTCCCTATCATCTGCTTTGCCTTGCCCTACCCTGTACTATGGTGGCCCGCCATTGTTTTTTTGCCCACATCATAATTATTTTATTACAATTATATTATATTTCTTATTATAATATAATGAATTATTAGAAGAAATTTGAAGCCATGCGAAGTACCGACACCGGAAAGCAAAATGTGAGTTTGTGTTTCATATTTACGCGTTATTATACTTTAACTTGTACAATTTACCTAAGCGGACCTCAGCATAGCACGTATACGTTCATCATGCTGGTTAACAGGCGTTTATATTGGAAATCATACACACAATGCATGTATTCAAGTATTTTATTCACTTATAAACATAGTTATAAATATAATTCATAATATAATATAAGCGCCCGGAAACCTAGGAGGCCCATTCGAGCGCATCTACCACAGGCCTATACTTTTTCAATACATAGATTATTGTTATGTTATTTGTAGTGTGTATGTTACTGATTGTTTATTATATTATGATTGTTTCTTAAATATTTTTTCTGACTTTCTTTGTTAGAATATTTTCATATCATATTGCCTATTTGAATGAAATAAATAAACTAAAATATAAAAGGCCTTATGTATATTAATTACTTCCATTAATACATCTCAATTTAACATTCCGAAAATACAACAGTCGATAGATTAAAGGTGTAAGTGAATTGAAATATTTGATTTATCTTGACAGACTTACACGCCATACATAGCAGATACTGGCGATGAGAGCCATACTTATCAAGATCTGCAGTTGGACGCAAATACAAAAACAGATTACGTTAATGCCAAGGTGGTGGGAATGTTTAAAAAGTGAACCATTTGTCAAAAAGAGCTGATGGAAGAGTATGACTTCAATCTCTACAAACTGTAACGATTTTTGCTATGGCAACGTACCTCCATGATGTTTGGTTATACAAAATATATGATTGAAATAAGTCAGATGTGGAGCTCATTAATTTTAAGAAATATTAATACTAGCAAAAGCAAAACAAAATAAATTGTCAAGTGTACATGTATTACTAAATATGCTTGACAGTTGTATTTTAAGTTTTCTTCTCGACGATGGGTACAATATAATTTTAGAGATTTTTCGCGCCGCAACTTTAGGCTGCTACCATAAAGAGTAAACAATCATTAAGAAACTGTATGCAGGAAGCTTTTACTACGAAGGAATGAGAATTCCGAACTAAGCAATGCGCATGCGCAGTTACCAAAGAAAGTCTCCGAAATATCTACAAAAACACCATGAGCATGCGCTGGGAATGTCTAGCATCTGGTCGAAATATTCAATCCCGACACGATGGCGTGCATTTCGATAATTGGAGTATGTATTATACTATCTTACAGTGAGTAAGTGAAGTTGTCGAGCCATGTCGAGCATGTGCAGTTACCAAAACGAAGTCTTATGAAACCAAACGGCGTCTGCGAAGGAGTGTGAAATAGAAATGAGAAAATTTTTTTATGCAACAACTGAGCATGCGCAACTCAAGCTAAAGCGATCATGCAGGCTATGAAAATTGAAAATCAGAATTCCGGTCGAAAAGTCTTGGCTATCAAAGGCCTACAGATGCGTAATAATATAATCGTCCGGAAAAATTGTAATTAAATTATCGCAAACAACAGTTTAATTGGCTCTATCGTCGTACGTACGTATGCATTGACAATCCGATAAAAAAAAACCCACATAAATTGAAGACACAACCTAGGCTAAGCCTATTTTAGGTAGCCCTAGCTAGGGCCTACTAAAAATAGCCACACAGAAACTGACAGCAGTAGGGCCTAAGCATAGCTAGTGAAAAGGGTCGGGGAGGTTAGCAAGTCTATATTTGAAGAATGAAAATCGGCGATGATGGAATTTATTTATAATAACTCCTCCAACCCAGCCAGCAGAATAATAAACATATTTTTAAAATTGAATACAAATAAGCAGCATAAATTATTATTATTATTATTATTATTATTATTATTATTATTATTATTATTATTATTATTATTATTATTATTATTATTAAATTATTATTATTATTAATTACCGGTATTATTATAACACATTTATAATAATAATAATAATAATAAAATAATAATGATAATAATAATAATTATAATAATAATAATAATAATAATAATAATAATAATAAAAAATATCAATAACAACAATAATGATAAGAACACAAGCTAAAGTAAGTCTATAAGTTAGGCCTACACCAAATTATATAGGCCTATTAAACTGGTTTATGAACCTTACACTATCTACATTTCTAATGTAGAATACGGTACTGTTTAGTATGCCGTTTTGTTATTTTAATCAAATAATTGTTACACCAGTAGCAAACCAATTCCTGTAGGCTATTATTTTTATGTGTTATACTATAAAAAAATCCATTGAAGACGGTAGGTCATCCTCAAGAATACGTTAATCTATTAAGTTTGGAAATACAAATCAGATATGAATTAAATTATGGTGCTGCGTATTTTTTATAGGGAATAATTCGTTGTTAAATACAATTCGTTGGGTCAATAACTCAACTAAAGTGAAAAAAACTTTACTTAGGATTTCGTGTAACATTTTCTTATATAAGTGGTTTATTTTAGATATATTAGCCATGAAAATGTTTTGTGAATTAACTTCAAATATTTCTCAGCGGATAGTATATATTAAGTTAACATTTGAATCTTGTTAGGAATACCGCCTGTGTGGTAAACTATATACAGTAATGTTTTGACGTATTACACGTCATCATCAGGGAATGTTGCTTATGCTCTACCGGTTTATAAAGTAACGGTCAGACAAATACTATCCTGAATAATATTTAAGTCATGTATATAAGAATTACAATGAAAGAGTGATATTATAAAGAGTTGTTAAGTGCAGGGTTTCCCCAAGCAGTGTAAAGACGTCTTTAATTGTTGGTATTTTTTGTGCGGAATGAAGAATGGTAAAACAGTCGAATTAGATGTGTTGTTTCATGTAATTGATTTTGTAATGTATTGAAAAATGTAAGGACTTCTCCAGAATCAAGTTCTCCTTTGCCCGTGTGTTTCTATGTGTCTGTTGGCTTTACCAAAATATATGGAGTTACACCCTGCTCAAGTAAAGTTTATAGACACCACGGGCACGGAAATTAGTTGGGACACGGTCTTTCAAGGCAACGCAGCCCGTTGCAAGTAATCGTCGGGGACAGTCTTAAGGTCGGTTTCCATAGAATCGCCCACCCTATTGTTGTCGGTAAGGTTGAACCTAGTTCAACATTGCCGATTGCGTTGCAGACGAATCGGGGTGCTTTCCCGATTGCGTCAGGGCAACTAGCAATTGCACCCTGATTCGTCCACAACGCAATCGGCAAGTTGAACCAGGTTCAAACTTCCCGATGGCTCTCGGCGACTGTCGCCGATAGGGTGAGCGATTCTATGGAAACCGGGATTCAAGCCGTTACGGTGAGAAATATTAAACATGATTAATATTCTACAAAGCGACTGTCCCCGACTCAAACCATCGCGTTCGCGTTTAAATCACATGAACGCGGCGTGGCAACAAATCGCGTCGGGCTGCGTTGTACGACGCTGTCTGAGTTAGCCTTTACATTACAAAAAATAGATAATTTAAAAGATTCAAAAGCAAATTTGACATTAATATGTAATTATAAATTCGAATTGCTTAATTAGTAAGCAGGCTAATTGTTAGCTTTCAATTGAATAGAATCACTTTTGCTATTGGAAAATATAAACAAAATTAAAAGCCAAAATGATGAATCACAATTGTGTTTCTTTACACTTCTTTTCTCTTCGCTGTCCGTTGTGCAATTATCACAATTTTGTTCCTCTTCCTTTGCAAATACTGTATAAGAAAAAAAACATCATCGCTAAACCAATTATATGAATCATTTAGCTATAATAAATACAGACCACTGTTTAAGGTCATGTTCTGAAAATAATATACGACATATATAATGTATGACAAAATGTGTGTTATCTCTTACGTAGATTAACTTAATGTAGGCCCATATTACACTAAATTAAAAAATATAATACTACAATAAAACTAATCAGGAAATCGTAATATGCGTGAAGATAATTAAATCATAACTTAACACAAATACTATGTTTGATAATAATGATGTGGATTGGCGCAAAGTGTTACATGTAATTCGGCTCTCAAGCGTAAGGCAAGGATTCGAATCAACTCGTTTGTATCCCTGAACAGCGTTATATTTAACAATCGTGTAGACTTCCTGTGTTGTGTTAAGGAAAAGAAACGAGAAGAAAGGCAAGAAATCGAAAGATATAGAAGGAAAAGAAAAAAGGATAAGAAAAGGAAATGGTAAAGAAAAGAATAAGAAATGTGCAAAAGAAAGGAAAGGAAAACATAAGGTAAGGAAAGAATCAAGATTCAAGATTTTGTTATTGTTTCGAAAGCTATCGAGGGCTATTGTCCACTCATTAACAAACAACTATGCATAATCAACACAATAAATACCTTACATTACTTGTTACTAATGCCTAATTTTATTTTTATCTCATTGGGGGAAATCAACAAAGGGCATGTGGAAAGTAAGATGGCAGGAACCTTGATAAACGACCAGAAAATCGAATAAATTTGGGTATGGCGGGAGTTTCTAAGAGAGATGGAACAATTACGGCTTAAAGGAAGGAAGTGGTGTAGGAGATGATTTGGGGTTTTTTAGAATCTCAGAAGTGAACCAAGAATAAAAAAAATCTGTCTAACTTCAAATGAAGAAACATTTATAAGACGAAAGAATATTAGCACAGTCAGACGAGGAAATAAAGGGATTAACAATCTTAGCGAAAATTGTCTCAATTCGATGAAAGTAATACAAGTCACATTTAGGAAGAAGACCATAAACGGAACATGCGTATTCAACTGTGGATTGGTTGTGGGATTTATGAAGAAGATTAAAAGTTTCGGTAGAGAGGGAATTCTCAAAAAAAAATTAAGAACGCAAAGTTTCCGCATGGCAAATTTGTAAACAGAAATAATGAGAACATGCCATTTCAAATTATTGGAAATTATGATACCTAAGTATTTAATATTATCAACGGAATCAACCAAAGTACCATTAATGTATACAGGGATAATAGAATGTGCTGATTGCCAAAATAAATATTCAAAACTTTACACTTAGTGGGGGAAAATGAAAGACCATTATGAGTCGACCACATCTATCTCGAGCTTACGCGCAGTGGTTGAAGTATAGTAAGAATTTGGAGTTTAAAGGAAATTATTAAGATTAAATCGTCAGCAAATAAGGAAACAGTGCATTCAATACTGTGTATGATATTATTGATAAAGCATAGAAATAAAGTCGGGCATAATTTACTGCCTCTATTGGAAAAGAAGAGAAATTCAAAGAAAAAACGAGGTAGGTAGAAAATAAAAGAAGAAGGGGTGGGGGGTGGAGAATTCAATGCAATTCAAATTTAATTTCAGGAAAAATATAATAGAATCATGATGTTGCCTTCCAAGGATTGCCAAACAAGTTTAAAAACTATCAAGTGGCTCTCCTAACAGCGTCATTAAAAATTAAATCGCATGCAATTATTTATATAACATTTTTCAATAAATGAAAAACAAAAATAATAATCAAAATAAAAATAAACAAATAAATAAGAGTAAATAAAAATAAATAAAAGTATATATATATCCATACACACATATATACACACCTACATACATATACACACTAACCTATGAGTAACGTACTTTGAACATATGTATAACTTTATAATCTCCAAAGCATATTGACGTATATGTAGACGTATTTGACGTCCGGACGACACAGAACTTACTGAGATATTCTTGGCTAAGTGATTTAAAATGATCAATTGAAAATAATAATGAGCATCATTGTCCGGGAGAGAATTAAAGAGCCTACTAAAATGAATAAAAGGGGAGTATTTAAAAGCATTGGTGCGAGCATGATGTGCTTCATATTAATGACTTGCCTCATATTATATACTGGGATCTTCAATGTTCTTTCTTCCATTTTTATTGTGAAAAGTTGAAATTTGTATTTTATTTTTAATATTTTTACTAAATATCAAGGTTATTTTGTTGTATTTTATTAGGCATAAGTTTATTGAGGAATGTATTTTTATATGTAAATGATGATGATGATAAAGAAACTATGTAAAACTGTTTGAATAAAGGTGGGTGTTCCCCACGAAAGATAAAAAAAAAAGCATTGGTGCGAGCAAATTTTTCTATAAATTTCAATGAAGTAGAATGTCTAGAGTTAACTTGGACGTCAGGTAACTTAATAGGCCTATTATTAAATCCAAATAAACAATTAACGATAAAGCTCACAGATGAATATAAAGGAAACGAGCATTCAATGGTGAGATGTGGAGATGCTTGAGTCTATCAGAGTAAGGAGGACGAGAGTACCAAGGACCACCGCAATACGCTCTCGAAAATCTGTGCTGAACCCTTTTAATATATTTTATATGACCTACCTGAAATGGCAACCAAGCTGGTATGCTATAATCAAGTAAAGGGCGGCACATTACTAAGTACAGACTACAGTATGCCTCGTTACCCTGCGTCCTCCCAACTAATCTGGTGATAAATCCAAGCATCATTGCAGCACGAGAAGTAGCATAATCAACTTGTTTACCCCAACTTAATTTGCAAGTTAAAAAAACTGAACTGAACTGAATCAAGAGTGAAATCATTGATGTAGTAATTTTTAACAAGAAAAGGTAAAGAAAGAAATTACAGGAAGTAAAGGAAAAGAGAGACAGGTGGAAAGAATGAAAGAAAAGAAAGGAAAAGGTAAAGAAGGTAATAAGGACAAGAAAATACCGTAAATATTTAACAATTAAGTAGATGAAAAAAAAAAATAAAATAAAATAAAATAAATAAAATTATTCAAACTTAACATAGTAATAGTATAATTACATATATAGTTGATAATCATTTTATTTATTTACTAGGTGAAACTTTTAAAAATTTATCCCCCTTTTTATATTATGCGCTATATAAATTGACATTATTATTATTATTTATTATTATTATTATTATTATTATTGTTATTATTATTATTGTTGTTGTTATTATTATTATTATTATTATTATTATTATTATTATTATTATTATTATTATTATTATTATTAATATTATAGGCGGGCCATAAGTTGTAGGTATAAGTTATGCAATCGTTGACACACGTTCACACACTAATGAGTAAAGTACTCATAAGTCGAAATACGTCAAGATAATGTCTAGTATCCCCCTTTTTATATTATGCGCTATATAAATTGACAATTATTATTATTATTATTATTATTATTTATTATTAACTTATAATGGTCACATTATTAAGAAGACACAACAATAATTGTTACTTAACCAATATCCTGAGGCGCGTGGAACGGAGAGAGTAGAGAAAACAGTAGAACTTATACATACTGTTTGTGGTGCTGAACTAATAATAATAATTCAAATAATAAAACATTAAATAGTTAAACCGTTATTAAATTTTTAATTATTGGTCATGTTGTAACTTCAGCCGTTGTCTTTCAAACCATTTAAATTATCGTAGCAAAAAGTATAAAAACTAACTTGTGTTTTTAATGAAAGTTAATCACTTGTAAATTATAAATGCTTGAAAATGTGTAGTTCAATGGTTTGATTGAATGTGTGTGGAATGGGAATTGAATATATGGCGTAGACCTATGTTTAAGAAAAACGTGGGGTGATGTTGATACGGTAATATTGATACTGGGACAATGATGTTGATACTGCGATGTCTAGTGCAGTTATGATTTGAATCGACGAGCGCCAGCTTTTTTACAGGCTTCATCACGTGATCGTCTACGATTCGCTGCCATGCGCTGTGTGTAAGTTAGACCCCGTTCCGCAACCTTTATAGCCCACGACCCAAATTACATGTCAAACACTCAGACGCGACCCATCAAACCGGAAGCCAAATTTCTCATCTGAATATCATGGGGAAATGATTGAATACGGTATTATTAAATTTTAAGTTTGAGTGAATTAGGTCAATAAATCACGTCTGTCGTTTTATACGCGCGAGGGGTATCAGAAGAACTCACTTGATTCGTTTGGCAATCGATTAAAAGGTAGGCCTAATCCAAAAATAACCCACACAATCAGTTTAAAACCCATAAAAATTAAATTACAACTCTGAAATACTCATTTAACAAAGCACGTAAGTTATCAAATGTTCCAATAAGATTTTTAAATATGAATTGTTTACAGACACTTTACTATAGGCCTACACAAATTCATAGATTTGCTGCCAGTTTTGTCCTTGTAATTTTCGGCTGAAAGCCAAACACACTGAAAGGAATAAAAGCAACACTTTCAAGTTGTCATACCTGAAGTACAAATGTTTTGATAGAGGCCTATATTATTTAACATAATACAAAGCGCGTTGTATCCTAATAGAATAGGTGTTATATAATTAATAAAATAACAAAATAACAAATAAAGCTATGATAACAAATGCATTACAAAAGTAAATCTGCACTTTCGTTTACTGTAATTTGATTTCGTTTGTCCTTGTTCTTATTAAGTAGAGTTTTCACGATCGGAAGAGATTATGCGACCCATCTAAATGTTTCCGCGACCCAAACATTGTGTAGCGACCCATAGTCATGGCCGGCGGAACCGGGGTGCCGGGGGAACCGGGGCCCCCCACTTTTTGGCAAAAAATATATAATGTCTGGAGATTTTTGTATGATCGGAAAGAAATGCAAGAAAAGAAAGAGTGAAGAAAGAGGAGAATGATGGGAAAGAGAATGTTTATCCAGTCCCCGACCGAGTTACATTTTCTCGCAATTCACATTGGCGGATCTGGGGGAGGAGGTCATCGGTCCTGACCCTTTCCTTGGGCCAAAAAAAAAGGGGAAAAAAAGAATTCTAGACCTACCTTTTCAGGACCCGTGAGCTGATTTTTTTTTTTTTTACACTTAAGAAAATTGAAATCACAACTTTGAACTACTCATTTAACAAAGCACGTAAGTTATCAAATGTTCCAATAATATTTTTAAAAATGAATTGTTTACAGACATTTTACTATAGGCCTACACAAATTAATAGATTTGCTGCCAGAAATATGGGTTAGGCTTATGCGAAGACATAGACACATTAAATTGAAGAGAAAAAATGTTTTGTCCTTATAATTTTCAGCTGAAAGCCAAACACACTGAAAAGAATAAAAGCAACACTTTCAAGTTGTCATACCTGAAATACAAATTGTTTTGATAGAGGCCTATATTATTTAACATAATATAAAGCGCTTTGTATCCTAATAGAATAGGTGTAATATATAAACTAAAATAACAAATAAAGCTATGATAACAAATGCATTACAAAAGTAAACTGCACTTTCGTTTACTGCAAATTGATTTGGTTTGTCCTTGTTAAGTAGAGTTTTCACAATCGGAAGAGATTATGCGACCCATCTAAATGTTTCCGCGACCCAAACATTTTGTAGCGACCCACAGGTTGCGGAACGGTGAGCTGGTTATCGTTTGGCATAAGCTGTGAACGCCGGCAGCTCGTTAAGCATTCCTTGGCATCTATAAGTTATCGAAACGTTCTGTACAAGTAACTAATACTTCGTATACATCCAACTTTATGAATACGCTATGTATACGCCCAAAATTGAAAAAAAAAAAAAACAAAAAAAACCACCATGGCCCTTGACTGAGACTAGGCAAAATCTTACTGTTTACTTCATGAAAAAAAAAACTATTAAAATCGGTCACTATAACGCCAAGCATTTCATTTC